GCAGGACGGTAGTACCTTCCTGGGGAGATGCTGTCTACCAGCCTACGTACTAGTACATTTTAGTACACATACTGTTATAAATGTTTAAAGTTGTGTTTGCTTACTTGAGGAGTGTGGTGATTCTACCTCTTTCGTTTTAGACCAGCTGAAGTAAAATTAACCTATCAAATCTATTTTTTTAACAGTATATAGCACTGGCTTAGCCTGACTGGTCAGAGATCGGTCATGATTAGTGGCGGAGAATCGATGCCTTCATCCGTCATTATTATTACATGTTAGTGGAAATGGGAAATACATTGCCTGCCACTTTAAAGGAGGGGTTTGGGGATATTGACAAGACTTGGGGAAGGACTTCTACAACTGTCGTATCTGAGGCCTTGCAAAGACATTGATTATGTATGAGTGAGGTTGAAAGTGGGTTGAATGATGATGAAAGTATTTTGGGGATTTTTTCTTTCTTTTGGGTCACCCTGTCAAGGTAGGAGAACACCCGACTTCTTGAGGAAAAAAAAAAAAAAAACTTTATTGAAAGTAATTTAATCCTTTCAATATCCACACCCCAAAATTAATATTGCTCCCGTGTTCACCTTTATCCCCCCCCCCACCAAAAAAAAAAGTTCTTTTCTGTTCTTTCTGAAATATAGAGAATCTTTCTCTAAAGTATGATAGCAAAAAGTACAAAAATTTGATGGAAAATTTACAGAATTACACATGTGTAAAAGTTAGTGTTTCTAGTGCATTCACACATCAGTGATTTTGGGGGAATTTGAATCCTATTATAAGTAATTTTATTTACCAATTTAACCAAATTCTCTAGGTATTTTGTTGTATGCCTTCCGTTATATTGATTAGACGAGAAATTCCTATTTAACAGTTACAACTATAAATACACAGAAGTCATGAATTGTGCCAGTTTTACATATAAATTAAAAAAAAAACATCAATTTTTAAAAATAGAATGCAAGAATAAACAATGCAGACATTCCTGGCATTGAAACATTTCCTCTGTTCATTTATCTTGAACAGCCCTCTCATATATTTACCACTTGCTTTCCCGTTTTTTAACTGTAAGATGTCCAAACGTATATATATGTTTTCTACAGCTAGTGCCCAAACTTATATACTGTTTACGTTTATGTTCATACATTCACATGCACGTTTAGGCCTGAGTGCCCTGACATGACGAAGAATGGGTGTGTGCACTCACTGTGTTGCCCATATTTAAAATATTTTGGGGATGATGGGTTACCATATGCTCTTTTTCCTATTAAAAAAAAAAAATTCTCTAAATAGTTGGGAGGCATAAGGTAGATAACGTATATATATGTTTGGACGTTTAGTGGGTTAAATTCATAAACACAAAAAAACAGAAGATAACTCTATTTCCCAAATAGCAAAATATAACCAGAATGATTTGTCAGGTTTACAATGTCCCAATATTTTATATAAGACCTATTAAAACTCGTAAAACAGACAGGGGTCTAGGTGGGACCTTACTGCTCTAGAAAAATTGGCCAAAATTGGAATAGTACATGGACCTCCGCCTAAACACTTTTAATCTGTTCCTGAAGAGCTCAACGTTAGGCTGAAAATTATCGTAGGGAATTTAATTTTCCCATAGAAATAAATGAAAAATCAATTTTAATCCGTTTCCTGGCACCTCAAAGTTATGAACAAAAAAAAATTTTTTACCATATGAAATATTAATTTTAATACACACTAACTGAAGAAGACATGCACAGTTACATGACACTTACCTATTATTCGAAGGATCTGGTGATGATTGATGGGATGGGAGGAGGGGAGAGTGTTGATGGTGTAAGTGTTTAGAAGGGAATCCCTTCCATTAGGACTTGATGGTGGCAAGTTCCTTTTCCGGTGGTTTATTCCTTTCTTCTTTTTAATGCCACTAGGACCAGCTTGGGGTCTCTGGACCTCTGTCGCACAACATATCTGTCCATTAGAGGCCTGTATCTCCAGGTCCTTTATGACATTCCTAGTGTTTCACAATATTGTCAGAGTGTAATAGTCACCAGCAGGCGTGCAATCGCTGTGTGAGGGTGATTTCATCAAAAACGGTTTGCAATTTTAAACACATTGCGCACATTTCCTAATCTTTGAATGTTAGGCATCTTCTTCAATTTCTCTATCCCCTCCTCCCAAAGCTGTTTCTCTCAGGTCTTGGCCTCTTGCTGTTGAGATGATCTAGCAAGGTCTCATCTAGTGGCTAGATCTTCATTGTCCTCTCACCAACTCTTCCACATCCTCTTCCACTAACCTCCAACCCCCAAGGACTTCCCCAATGCCACAATGGGATTCCTCAACTGGCAATAGGATTCACAGGGTTAGCCTCAACCTTCAAAATCCCTTTTGTCTACCACATTCTGGCCACAGTTTCTTCCAAGCAGTGTTCAAGGTCCTCTAGTCACTTCCTCCCAAGCTTACTATAATGTTTACACATTGAGGATGCTAAGTGATCTCTCCAAAAACTCTCTTTGAGTCAATTGAGTTTCTGAGGTCACTACAAAGCACCTTTCAAAAACATAGCTTTGGTGTAACAGTTTCTTGAAGTTGAAATACCTGCTGCCTTGGGCTGCAGGAGAGAGGAGTGGTATTAGGAGGCAAAAAAACTTAACCTTAATGAAGCTCATTTCCGCTGAAAGTCGCTCTGCCAGGTCATGAAGGAATGACCAGGAGCATTGTCTAATACAGGAGGGCACTTAAGGTATAACTTTCTTTTCATTTAGGTTAATTTTTCACAGTGGGGGCAAATGTTTGGTGTAACCAGTCTAGAAAAAGTCCCTGTGACCAATTGCCTTACTGTTTGCCTTCCACAGCACACACAAATTAGCCTTGGGGACATTTGTTTTTCCTGAACACCGGGAGTTCAGAGTGATAACACAATAAAGGCTTACACTTTGCAATCTCCACTTGCATTGGCACACATCAACAGAGTAAGCCTGTTTTCACAGACTTATGTTTCTGGGAGTGCCTTTTTCTCTGAGTAATGTACGTCCTGCTTGGGCATTTTCTTCCAAAACAGGCTGTTTCTTCACAATTAAACACTTGTTCAGGTTTCAGTCCTTCACTGTCTATGTACTCCCTTGAATTCTTGCACATATTTTTCAGCCGCTTTGTGGTCTGCTGAAACTGGCAGCCTTCACCATGCCCTTATCACACTATGTATGCCTCTATGATTATTAAATCTATCAAACAAACCTTGCTGCGCCTTATTCACTCTTTTCACTAGCTGCGGCATTTTTCTAATTATCGTCATGCAACTTCCCTGCCCTTTTCACCTATGATCGCTTTAGAGATGCTATCTCCCTGCTATCTGTTTTTCGTTTATCCACACAATAACAGTCTTCAACATCTTCTATCACTTTGATCTCTGTTCGAAAAAAAGTTGAACCTTTTAGCAAGAACAGCTTCCTTGATTGCCGTTTTCTTGCCCACAATAGTAGCGATGGTTGATTGGGGTTTTGGTGTACAAACTGGCAGACTCGGAGACACGCACTCCACTTTCATACTTAGCAATGATCTCTTTCTTCATTATCATAGTTATTCTCTTTCTTTTTGCTTGTTATGGTTGGCAACTAGAGATGTCTTGGGGCCCTGTGTGACTAATTTTGCAGGTTGCAATCACTAAAAAGGCTGTGTAATGAAATGTTACGATTGTATGCTTGGAGCGACTGCAGTGGCTGGTTGTAAACACTGGCACCCATCGGAACAAGTGAGGCGGGCTTAGACGCACGTGGGACGCGTCTCGAACGTATCCATTGAGCAGTTTTTTAGCACTAGCCGAGGCAAAATTTTTGCGTTAAAATGGCATTTGCTAGGCGGATTTAACGTTATGACGATGCATTCGTTAGGCGAGGGTCACTGTCTTTCCATTTTCTAGGTTCCCTATTTTTCAGCTGCTTCCAGTCCTGAAACCTCACCAAAATCACTCTATCTCAACAGTATGTCTTCCATTCTTATCAAATGTTACTTAAACGGTCAAAGTTTTCTTTCCATTATGCATTAAGAGGGCAGGAATTTTTTTTTACTGTGCACACTCACTCAATACCCCCCTCTCAGCCCTTCTGGATATTACCTTTAGTAACCCTGCACCTCTCATCAACCTCCAAACACGAATTCTCTTCTAATATATCATACCGCATGTTGCCCTCAAACACATCTCTACTGCCTCAGCCTTCCTCCTAGCTGCAATTCTTAACCCCATGCATCACACCCATATAAATGGTGTTGTACTGGTATATTCTCATACATTATCTTTTTTCCTCCATTGGAATTAAAGTTCTTTATCTCTCAGATGCCTCAATTCATCACAAACATTGCAACTTCTCTTCAGAATCTCCCAAAGCATCATCAGTTAAAACAAGTTTATAAGATTTCTTTATCTTTTAATCTCATACCTTTTCCCAACACCCTCACCATTCACTTCTTTTTACTTCATACATAATTATTTATTAAACTAGTAGTAGGTGGTTGACCAGCAAACTCCCTGAGAGGTATACCGTCTGCCAATAGTGAGTGTAAAACGAAAGTACTTAATTGTTTTACATGTTGGTAGGTTTGCTAGGTGATCCTTTTTCTGTCTCATTCAAACATGCAAGAGTTCAGTACGTCTTGTACTTCTATTACACTTGGGTCACAATTTACAATACATGTACAAGCATGTATATACACACACCCCTCTGGGTTTCTGCTATTTTCTTTCTAGTTCTTGGTTCTTGATTTATTTTCTTATCTCCATGGGGAAGTGGAACAGAATGCTTCCTCCGGTAAGCCATGCGTGTTTTGTAAGTCGGTGACTAAAATCCAGGTGAGCAAGGGACTAGTAACCCACTTCATCCTGTATATATTATAATGTAAAGGAGAAACTTTACGTTTTTCCTTTTGGGCCACCCCGCTCGGTGTGGTCGGCCGATGTTGTTGAAAGAAAGAAAAGAATAATTAGATAAGTAACAGTGACAGCCAAAAGCTACGTGTCTCACTTTTTTCTCGCAACATCCTTTTTTCTTCCTGGGTGAAGAAGAAGTGGTTGATGCAGGTCCTTGATCTTGATACCATAAGTGTTGAAATAATAATCCATATAACTAATCTGGAATCAGGATACAATACAGGTCGACTAAGTTTTGTGGTTTAAATTACACTGTACTTTAAATTTGTCCTTTAAATTACTCTCTCAAGTCTTGAATAGAACAAACACTTCCACAAGGACATATTGTACCTTTATTGTAGAAAATGCTTCACTCAGAATGACTTATACAAAGACTACTGGCTGGAGCAACCTAATATAAATTGCAGCTCATATAAATTTGTTGAGAGTGAAAACATAAAAATATTTGGCAGACAGCTATTACAAGATAATGTAAAAGTGTGTTTCATTCTTTCGATAAGGATATACTGATGTAGTAAAAACAAGAGAGTAACCATCAATTTATAAAGCTTTAAAGGGAGTCTGTATATATAAACATTGAACTACCATTCATTTACCTACATAATGACACATACACCTTCCCCACCTTTCTTGTTAGTTGGACCAATATAAAGCAATATTAAAGCAATATTAACAAATTAAGGTATAAAGATATCCAACAACAACATTACAACTCTGCCTTTGCCAAATACAGATTTAATAGTTATTGTCCAATACAGTTACTAGATACAATAGCTGTGAGTGTTGACTAGATACAAAAGTAGCTAATGGAATTACTAGCCATAATTCATTAACTACTTAAGACAACCAGCTGACCATGTATCAGCAAGTTTAATTTTAGTGGTAGTTAAGGCAAGAATTGGTTAATGGAATGCATAAATTCAGATATCAAAAAATTACACAAAGTTTACTGTAGAATATTAGTGAAAAGAGGTAAGGGTAAGATATTAAATAGAATTTCCAGGAGCAGAGAGGATTAGGAAAGGTAGGTAGGGGATGTGTTGATCATGTGTTTACATTGCAAGCAAACGACTTTGTAAAAATACTTATCATATGCTAACTTTTTTCTCCCTTAATACTTCTTTACATCATCATTCACCAATCGCTCCTCTTCCTCCTGCACCACACTTTCCTGTATCCACAAACTTTGCTGAACACTCTAACACTACATTTTTTAAACCTACCCATACTTCTTCGACCCGTTGGCCTATGCTCTCATTAGCCCATTCTATCTCCAATAAGCTGTTTATATCTTTACCTACTGCCTCTCTTTTAGTTTCTAAACCTTCACCTCTCTCTTCCATGATGCTTCTATTTCTCCTTGTATCCCATTACCTTGTTACTCACAGTGATAGCTACAACTAGAAAGTGATCTGATATATCTGTGGGCCTCTTTATAACATGTTACATCCTGAAGTCTACTCAAACAGTCTTTTTCTACCAATACATAATCCAACAAATCTACTGTCATATCGCCATACATAACTTATCGTGTTTACTTATTTATCTCTTTTTTATTAAAATATGTACTTACATTCGATAACTTAACCCCTTTCTATACAAAGTTCAATCAAAGGGCTCCCATTATCATTTAAACCTGGCACCCCAAACTTTACCTACCAACCCTCTCTAAAAAGTTATCCTATTTAGCATTTCAAGTCTCCCCTACCACAATTACTCTCTCACTGGTTCAAAGGCTCTATACTTTCACTAAACATCTCCCAAAATCTCTCTCTTCTCTGCATTCTCTCTTCTCAGGTGCATACACGCTTATTATGACCCACTTCTGCATCAACCTTTACTATTCACATAATTCTTGTTTGTACACATTCTTATTCTCTATTCTCCTCATAACTGATCATTTAAATTACTGCGTACCCTTCTTTGCTTCTAACTCTCTCAGATATCAGATTTAAATCCCATTTATTTCCCCCACTGAAACTCTCCTACCCTTCAGTTGTGTTTCGCTTAGTGCCAGGACATCCAACTTTCTTTTCATTTCATACTCCAGCAATCATTGATTTCTGTCATCCGCACTACATCCACGCCACATTTAAGACACCAGTTTTTTAAAGTTTTTATTCTTCTTTTTTTAGTAATGTTTTAAGGTGAGGGGTTACTGCATTGCTCCGCATTTTAGGTCGCTTCTCGACACGCATGGCTTACGGGAGAAGTTCTTTTTCAACTACCCATGGACAATAGAAGAATACAAAAGAACAAGAGCTTTTAGAAAAGAGGAGAAAAACTAGATGTTCGGTTATATTTATATATGCATGTGCGTGTCTGTGAAGTGTGAACAAAGTGTAAGTAGGAGTTGCAAGATATCCCTGTTATCTTAGAGTACTTTATACGTATTAAAGATACACAAACATATCCCTCCAAACTGCAATATCCCAAATAACCCTCCCTTTAAGCTGCTAGGGCATTGGTAATTCCAATTTCAGGACTCAGCACGACTTATGAGAATAACCGGGTTTCCGGAAATCCTTCACTATATTATTTCCCTGCTCACACCTCACAGTTCGTCATGGTCCTAAGTACCATTAAGTCACCTGTCACTTCCTATCGAGATTTGATACAAAGGCAGTTATCACAGTTTTCTTTGTTGATGACAGTTATTTTTGGGGATCCTGAAGACAAGTTGCAGATATTAACCATATCTGCAACATCTGCTACACTGCTTACCTGTATATTCTATCCAGCTATGCATTTTCTAAATTCATAAATCAATAAACTGTTCTTAACATTTTTTAAACCCCTTTCAGGGTCCAAGAATTTCCCCCCAAAATTTTATTTTTTAATGAAATGGTAGAGAATCTTTTTCTGAAGGTAATAAAATAAGAAGTATGAAATTTGATGGAAAATTGACGAAATTACACTATTGCGAATTTTACTGCATCAGCATCGACAATTTTGCCCACTTTGACTCCTATTTGGGCCCAAATTACATTATTCCAGTCATCAAATTCTTAGCTATTCCACTAGTATTACTTCTAATTTATCGACTGAGCACAAGAAACTGCCCAATAAACTATTTCAACTACCCAATAAAGTGATCAGAAATTGGTAATTTAGCCAATTTCACACAAAGTTCAAAATATTCCAATTTCAAAACAGGGTCCAGAATAAACAATGCAGGCATTTCTGGCACTAAAATAACACTTCCTCTGTTTATTAGTTACATTTCCAGGCTTTACAAATGAATTCCATTTTGATTTTTTATTTACGTAAAGAATTTTTATTCACACCAAAAAATAGAAGATTCACTATTATGAGATATTGTAAGAATTGTATAAATAATATCAGTGCATTCGTGAACATATATCAGATCCATCAGTTGACATGTATTGGACTCATGACATCACGTTTACTCTTGAACATCGGCAAATATTGAACATTTTTACTACGTTGATCTCAATTTCAAGCTATTTTCAGTACTAAAACCAATCAAAATCATTTCTATATCTGTAATATATCTTCCATTCTATCAAATGAGACCAAAAAACTGTTAATACAACCGTAAAAGCCATACAAAAATACACCACAAAGTTGGCGTTTTAATCCAAAAACACCTGCAGAATTGCATGCTGCAGGATTTGTTTTATATGGTGCACACTTACCACATACTGTAGATGCAATCTCTCATATCAGGCCCAAATTTACTGCTCACAATTTATATGAGTGAGCCGAGCTCATAACGTAGAACTACGGCTTGGACCCCTCAAAGGGTTAAATACTTAGTCTACACATTCCCTATCATTCCTAAACCCTCCTTGCTCCTCTGTAAACCTACATTCTATTTTGCCCCTAACTCTTCCAATAATAATTCTACCGTAAAATTTGACTGTCAGCTTCGACCATTAGTCAGTAACAATGGTTACTGACTAACGGTCGACAACATTCAATGGTTACACCTTGTGATATAACAGGTTTCACTGTGCCTCCATGGGTGGCTCTGCTGCTCTCATAGCCTTGGGCAATGCTCAGTTCAAAGCAGGAAAATCATTGCAAATTAAATATTTCAAGCTACTTCTGGGTTTGAAACCGACCAAACTCGCCTCTGTTTCGGTAGTATGTCTTCCATTCTATCAAATAATGCCAAGAAACAGCCAATAAAATCATAAAAACTTCAAAGTCACTATTTGGAACCAACACAAGGCCAGAGATTTGCTTTCCTCATCATGTACTGTATGAGGCAAATTTTTATATATTGTGCACCTCACCATACAGACTTATTCTTTCATGTCTAGGCCAAAATTTTCCCACTCACAGCCTATTTGTGGGCACTGTGGTTAAAACAGATCTACATGAGTGGCACTATCATCTATTACGTAGATCTACACAAGACACTGAAAGGGTTAAACATAAATTCACTTAAAGTCTTCTTTCTTTCAATGCACCAGCCATATCCCACCGAGGCGGGTGTCCAAAAGGAAAAACAGAAGTTCTCTGTTTACATTTAGTAATAATACAAGGAAGGGGTTACAGTATCTTAACAAATTTTTCACAAACCTCCTCTCCTTTGTAGTTAGTAAAGGTGGATCTGGGGTTTTGATTGAAGATAATGTCATCTATGCGATAAGATTTATTATTGTACCTAGTGAGAACGATACAGCCGACCAATGCCCGTACAGCCATATTCTTGAAGTTAGACCTGTGCATCTGGTGCAAGTCAGCCCTTGAAATGAAATTAATAACATTATAATCTGTATCTCTGTAGCTACCACTGTCAAGATTATCACTAAATGTATGATGTCACTATTCTAAGTTTTCAAAAAGGCATGTGCAGTCTCTCCTCACTTAACAACGTACTTCCATTCCTAAGAGTAGGTCAGTAAACAAACTGGCTGTTAAGCGAGGAGCATACTATACTGGTAAAGGGTTTGTGTCAACCATCTTTAAATATTGGTTTAAAGTCACCTTTGCACTATTTATAACATTTTTTAGTATATTTTTAAATGTTCATACAGTAGTGTACTGTATACTGTAATAAACAGAATATTGGAAATCAGCTCTAATATACATTACTTAGGTATGCATACTGGTCAGAGAGCCCATCGTAAGCCCGAGCGTTCGTTAAAGGAGTACGTCGTTAAGTGAGGAGAGACTGCATAGCATTCATATGCAGAGGGTCCTCTACATATAGAACTTCAGATATATAAATATCATTGCTTACTAGCAGGACCTTTGGGAACCAATAATTTTTCTAAAAGTCAATCCACAGGTGTTAACATTCATAAAAAGATCTAGTAATTTTTATTCGTAGATACATGTGCTGAATTTTTGCATATGCTCATTTTATGCATGCCAGACATCTTATAAGACAGGTTACAAAGGTTACTGAAACCCAAATTTAAAAAATTTAGCTCTAAACTGACACAGGCTGGATGGACCCTTCAAAAAAAAAACAAAAAAACTTATAAAACCAAAATGTATCAAAACCAGAAAAACACCTCCAGAATTCAAGTCTGGCTAACTGGTTACCTAAAAAATCCTTCATAAATGCTACTTTTTCTCACCCTAGACAGCACTTCAAATTCCAAAACCACTCATTTCCACTAAAAAGTACCTGCAAAGAGGCAGAGCCAGGAGCTGTGACTTCACCCCTGCAACTGCAAATAGGCAAGTACACCTCCTGAATTTTCAATCCTCCTTCATACCCTTTCCAACCAATAAATTTTCCTGAACCTTTTTCACTACTAATTTATACACTTTGTTCAACTTATCTTACTCCATCCTCTCTTAAGACCAATCTCAACAACCTCTCCACACTCTGAGTTGTACCTTTAACCCTTTGACTGTTTTGGTCGTATATATACATCTTACGAGGTACCGCGTATGACGTATATATACTCAAAAATTTTCTAGCGGCTTCAAATCAAGTAGGAGAAAGTTTGGTAGGCCCACAGTGAGAGAATAGGTCTGTGTTGTCAGTGTGCACCACATAAAAAAATCCTGCGGCATGTAGTGCAAAAGGGAAAGAAAAAAAAAACTCCGACCATTTTTTTAAATTAAAATGCCGACTTTGTGGTCTTTTTTCATATAGTATTTATGGTTCTATTCTCGTTTTCTTGGGTCTTATTTGATAGAATGGAAAAATATTATGGAAATAGAGGTGATTTTGATTGTTTACTATAAAAAGAACCTGGAAATGGAGCTCAAAGTAGTGGAAATGTTTGATTTTTGCTGATGTTCAAAAGTAAACAAATTCAAATTCAAACTTTTTTCTCTATAAGTTTTTACAATGCTGAGTTTACAGAATTTGGTTATGTGGGTTTACATGTAGTAAAATAATAATTACAGAGTGTACCACCAAAAACGCCTAGCATGGCTAGGGCATTTCGGGCAGACTTATATTAAATCTTAGGTTTAAAATGTTTACAAGAATTATGAGATAAGTTGGTATTATGGCTAAGTGACTAAATACTAGTTGTGAGTTTAGCAATGTGAATGCTTTTGTTTTGGCACTATACATAGTTTCAGTATTGGAGTATCACAGGCCAACTTTTGACTAGTTAAGATTCATTATTTTAAGATTGAGATTGATATTTCTGTTTAGGTCAAAATGGGTGAGTGAGTGTAAGTGTGAACCACCAGGGGGTTTATTCTTTATTTTAGTTGACAGGTGTATCAGGGAGATAAAGATGTTTCTGATGGTATTTTGAAGGTGATGATGTGTCTGCAGTTTTGGAATTTTTCAGGTAGGGTTTGTTCCAGATTTTAGGGCCTTTGACATACTTTGAATTTTTGTAAAGGTTTAGTCAGACAGGGGGAATGTCATAGAGATGTTTGTGTCTGGTGTTGTGCCTGGGGTTCTGTCACAACTATCAAGAAAGCGTTTTAGGTCAAGGTTAATATTGGAATTTAAGGTCCTGTAGATGTAATTGCACAGTAGTAAGTGTGGATGTACTGAACGGGGAGTAAGTTTAGATCTATGAAGAGTGGGGGGTGTGTTGCCGGGGAGGGGATTTAGTGATTTTTCTTACTGCGGCTTTTTGTTGGGTTATTTTTGGGCTTTAGGTGTGTTGCTGCAGTTGAACCCCAAGCACAGATAGCATAGGTGAGGTATGGATATATAAGTGAATGGTATAGTGTGAGAAGGGCAGTTTGCGGCACGTAGTACCCGTACTTGGAGAGGATCCCAACCGTTTTGGATACTTTTTTGGTTATGTGTTGGAAGGGTGCTGAAGTTCAGGTTGTTGTCGGGGTATAGGCCTAGGAATATGCCCTCATTATCCTGGTAATTAGTGTGTTGTCGATCTTAATGTTAATTTGCGCATCCCTGCTCTGCTACCAAACATAATGTAGTAGGTTTTGTCAAGGTTAATGTAAGTTTAATTGGCTGTCATCCAAGCCGATATTTTAAATCACTCCTCATTAACAATGTGTTGGGGGTTGCAAGATTAGGGTGAGAGATGACATAAGTCTGTCGTCAGCAAAGAGAATGGGGTTCAGGTGTCGAGATACGTTTGGAAGATCATTTGATGTATATGAGGAAGAGCAGGGACCAAGGACACTTCCCGGCGGAACTCCAGTATCAATTGGCGTGTTGTTGATGCGTGTCTTTAAATGGTGACATACTGAAAACCTATTTGTAAGGTAAGAATTTGAAATATGCAAACGCATGCCCCTTATACCATAATGGGGCAAGTTTGTGGAGTAGATGCCGTGGTCTACGTGTCCAAAGCTTTTCTTAGGGCAATAAAAATTCCTAGTGAATATTCCTTATTTTCCAATCTGTGTAAAGCAGATCTAACAATTTTATAATTGCATTTGTTAGTGCTTTTAATTTTTCCTGAATCCAAATTGGCAGGGGTTGAGTATGTTTTGTGACGTTATAAATGAATATAGTCTCCAGTGCACGAGTTTCTCAAAGATTTTGGATAGCAATGGTAAGTTTTTATATTTGGGCCCATAGTTGTTTAAATCTATAGGGTCACCACCTTTAGTATTGGTGTAACCCTTGGCCGTCTTGAGTAGTTTCGGGAAGGTGCTAAGCTTCTAGTGACTTGTTAAAAAGCAATGAGATAGTATGCGAGAGGACATGGGCCACTCTCTTGTACAATAGTGGTGGGACATGAGACAGATTCCCTGAGTTTTTTTAAGTGACTTTATAATCTCGGTGACTTTCCCTGGGCTCAGTTGGAGCAAGATAGAAGGAATTTGGGAAATTCCCATCTAGGTTTCCCCGGCATGGCATTGGTAGTGGGATTTTATTGGCGAGATTAGAAAACCCATGGGTTTAGAAGAAGTCGTTTATCTTGTTAGCTGTGTCGGGGGGTTGCAGTGGTGTTTCATTAGGGTTTTGTTAGGACAATATTCTTGTTTTTTTCAGTTTTGTGGGTCCCTAGAATCTGAGAGAGTGTTTTTCCAGGTCTTTTTTATATCTCCTCTTTTGTCAGTGAATCTACGTGTAGTTATATTGTTTGCTTTCTTTATTTTCTTTGGTGAGGACTGATGAATAGTGTTTAAGAGTATCTTTGTGCATTAAGCCCTGTCTATATTGCTTTTCATATTGGTGTTTCTTATCAATGGATTTCAGAATGGTGTGGTTAGCCATGGCAACCAAGCTGTTTGTTTGTGATCTGTTTCGTTTTTATAGGACAATGTTTGTTGTATAGTCTAAGTAGTTTGTTAAGAAAAATGTCTGTCCAGTCGTCAATACCATTGGCCTTGGAGAATTCTGGGAGGCCAGTCAACAGTCTCTAGGTCAGCTGTGAACTTCCCTTATTGAGGCCTCATCATGAGTCTAAATGAGACTTAGTTTTATTCAAGTGGTGGTTTACTAATGTTTGTCAAGGGAAGGTAGGGTAGTGGTCTGTAGTGCTATCTGTGATTATCCCTGATTTAAGGGGGGGTGTAAATTGGTCCATATGTGGTCATTATGGTTGCACTTGTTTCAGTGAGCCTGGTTGGTTAGTTATTGTTGGTATGAGAAGTGTGCTATTCATATTGTTTTTATGAAATCAGTTACAGGCTGATCATCTAGTAGGGCCAAGGTTGATGTTGAAGTCTCCAGCTAAGAGAAGGTGGTGCTTATTCATTTGTCTGTTTGTTATTAGTGCCTTTAATTTTTCACTGAATTTGGGATGTTATGTGGGGTATCCGGTTTAAAAGGCACCGATTGTTATAGCGTCTTAAGTTTTTTTACAGTAAAATTAGCAAAAATGTATTCTCCATATTCATCACTAAAGCAATTGGTGCTGATACAAGATAATTGGTTAGAGTAATAGATTGCAATACCACCCCCAACTTGGGATGGTCTGCAGTTGTGGATTGCTGTGTATCCTGGTAGAGGGTAGATATCTATTGTGTCCTGTTTTAACCAGGTCCCCGGAAAATAAGCAGGGGGAAGGGTGTCTTTAGTGATTCAAGGAGGCCAGGAGTCACAAGTGTTTGCTTAAGGACCTGATGTTGTAGTTAAGTACTGATAGACTTTATCATTGTTTTAGGATAGTGGCTGGCTTGTGATGCTGTGTAGTAAAGGCAGTTACTTTCCAATAGGTTTGATTGTGTGTCAATTATGTAGGTTTAGATCAGGGTCAACGTGATCAAATTTATCTTCTAAGTTTAAATTATGGTTATTTAATCCTGAGTTGGTGTTGAGTTTTAGTATGATATCTGTAGTGGTGGGGAAATTTGGACAAGTATATAGCTATGCATTTTGGTCATGGGAAAAGTATAGTCACTAATACACATAATGAAGTTGGTGTTTTTCTATGTTTTTGTGCTGGAATGAGCTAAAGTACAACTAGGTATAAACTAATAATATAAAAATACAAATTAAAAATAGCACAAGACTCTCACTTGTAATTGCACTAAGGTCTAATGTAATGACTTTGGTATAGTCTATGTATTGACCTAGAGTGAGCAATAGTACAACTAGGTTTAATCTAATAATGTAGAAATACAAATTAAAAATAGCACCAGGCTCTCACTAGTAATTACACTAGGGTCTAATATAATGACTTTGGTACTGACTATGTATTGAGCTAGAATGAGCTACAGTACAACTGAGTTTAATCTAATGATATAAAAAAGGCACAAGACTCTCAGTTGTAATTGCACTAAGGTGTTATATAAGTTGTTTACAAGAATTAGAGTATAACTAGATTTAAATTGACAAGATAAAATATACAAGTTAAGGTAGCAAAAGAATAAAAAAAGTAGAAAAAAAAAATATATGAGGTAGTTGGTACTAGTTTGCAAAAGATAGTTAAGGGCCTTGAACAATAATATAATTGAAATATACACTAATTGCACACATGATATAGTCACTAAGATATGAAAACAATCTTAGAGTAGGACTTACAATATAAACTTATAATATAAAAATACAAATTGAAATGGTACTTGCAAGTCCAACTAGCCATTCTAATATGCAGTCATGAATGGGTTGACATTATTTGTACAATTATTATAATATTGCAGTAGTCTGCATAACAGTAAATCTTCTATTTTTTGTTTGAATAAAAATTCAAAATAGAAAGCAAGAGTAATATCAGAGGGGCCTGGAGACGTGACTGATGAACAAAGAAAATGTTATTTTAGAGCCAAGAATGTCTGCATTGTTGATTCTGAACCTTATTTTGAAATTGTCATATTTTCAATTTTCGTGAAATTGGCCAAATTGCAAATTTCTGGCCACGTTATTGGGTAGTTGAAATCAGTAAATGGGCAGTTTCTTGTACTCAATCGATAGAAAAAATGGATTCTAAAGAAATAGCTATGAGTTTGGTTGACTGGAACAATGGAATTAGCCAAAAATAGGGCTCAAAGTGGGCAAAATCGCCAATTTGTAAATATCGCCGAGGTCACTAACTCTGCGAGAGCATAATTCAGTCAGTTTTCCATCAAATTTCAATTTTTTGGTGTCTTTACATTCGGGAAAAGATTCTCTATCATTTCATAAGAATTTTTTTTTTTTTTTTTTAATTTTGCGACACCAGGAGACACCTCAGGATTGGGGGTTGCGACAGTCAAAGGGTTAATACCACCATACTTTTCCTAATTTCTTCACTCATCTTTTAAATAATAACAAACTGCACACTAATTTTAAATATGAGATATCCATTGCCTCCAACCTCCTCCTCAAAGAAAAATTCGAACATCATGCCTCACACCCACATGAATGTGTTCACACTAATATACAATAGAATATCCCCCCTTTTTGCATTCAATGATCAATATTTTTTTTCTTCATACAAATGCCTCTACATTTCACCTACCTCTTTTTAACCCCTTTCTATTTTATGATTCGCTTTGTGTTTCATATACAATTCATCTTCTGACACATCCATTCCACAATATCTTCACATAATACTACACTAACTTCCTTCACATAAATAATTCTCCTTCCTTCAAATCTGATGTCCCATCATTCATGACTGCATTTTTTATAAATAGTATCTGATCTCCTTAACTCTTTCTCCTGTATAAAAGAAAAACTTCATTTTCTCTTTAGGTAACCCTGCCTCGGTGGATGCAACCAGTTTGTTGAAAAAAAAATTTTTTTTTAATCTCATTTACCATTGTACTCCCTCAGGAGCTCCTATAAATAATTCCCCATTTTTTTTTCAATTTAATTGTTCTAATCACTTCACCATACTAACTCCCCACAAACCATGATAATCTCACTGTACTTCTACATCTCAAACACAATCAGATATGTACAACTATCCACCTCAGCCCAGTAGGGCCACACCATGCTTCTCCACACTCTTCACAATCACTGACATACACCAGCAGCCACAATTTAAGGTAAATAATATTAGTATTTCCATTGCATTTGTAGTCTTAAACAACAAAAACAACATTATCATTTTTATTTTTGTAAGATCTGGATGTCTAAAAAAAGGCTGTTTGTCTGGGGAGGTAGGGGGGGGGAACAGCCCATGAATGTAACCCTATTTTTCCCACTAGTTCTTCAGTTTATATAACAGATTTATCTAACACTGCATTTTCAGGAACATAACTACAGTGTAATATAAGGGTCTACTGTAATATATCTTAATTTCTACAACTACATGTACAAGGTATACAGGCCTAGCTGACATCAACGACATACTACTACATAGAAAGATGCTTGTTATGCAGAGCATTTCAGGCAAATTAGGTCAGTTTTCTCCCAGGATGCGACCTACACCAGTCGACTAACTCCCAGGTACCCATTTTACTGATGGGGAACATAGACAACGTGTAAGGAAATACGTCCAATGTGTCTACCCTCACCGGAAATCAAACCCACACTTTCCCTGTGTGAAGCGAGAGCTCTAGCCACCAGGCCACGGTCACTGTAACGATTATGGAAATGGTTACACAAGCAGCATTGGCATATTCTTTAATTGGCAAAACTTACAGTATATCATAACAGGTTTCAGTGCGAAGAATTCTATGAGACACATCACACACAGCATAATTCCTCCTTCTTGATAATTGACTGCAGTCACATATCCTGGCCATATTTCCAACCTACAACATTTTTAATCTTTTAATGAGAGGAATCAACATGACAAAAGTACCCAGTAATGTTTCTCTCAGTATTATATTCATGGAAAATACTAAATCAATTAAGTAATTTAGTGTTACATGACAGAAGTGAGAGATGATAAAAGAGGAAAACTGAACAGGTTTTGGGAAATATATTGGCAGAAAGGAGAAATTAGTCACAGTTGACATAGCAAATCGATATGAGTTGAGAAATTATGGAGCAAGTCCTCATTAACCTTTTAACTGTGTCCAGCATACTAGTAGCCAGGCAATGATGGTGCCCAACATACTAATACGCAAAATTGTTCATGCTTTCAATCAAATGTCACCTGGCAATATTTTTTGACCTTAGAAAAACATGTAAGACCAGGCAAGTCCAAACAGTGTGTCATGGTGTAACACTGTCTAGCTAGCACAAGTAAACAATGAAACTAGGACCTGATGTTCCACCATCAGCTTTCCTACCAGCAAATAGTGTTTGAAACTGCCAGGAAGATGTCTTATTCATTCCAAATTCATTACAATTTCATGATACTAACAGTGGAATTCGGCCAATAGGCACACTATGTAGATTTGACCATGGATAACCCAATATAGTCAAACAATGTGACTTATTTCCATATTTTGTTGAATATTACATCTTGAAATAATTGTAATATCATAAGACTTCTTTGTAAATACTATATGATTTACAGTGGTCTGGAAGGCACTCAGATGTCATGGACACACACAAATTGCATATGTTTATATAACCTAGGATATTCCCTCAAATCTATAAAATTAAACAACACACACACAGCCGTATCCCACTTTGGTAGTGTGACCTAAAAATAAAAAAAAAAAAGTTTTTTTTTTTAAAAAAATTTTAGTAATTTAAAACAAAAGGGGGTTAAACCAGCCCCCTGCCCCCTTCAACCTAAATCATCATCATCTTAAATAAAAACTGGACATATCCCACCGGGGAAAGGGTGGCCCAAAAAGAAAAAAACGAAAGTTTCTTTTTTTAAAATTTTAAATTAACATATACAAGAAAAGGGGTTTTACTTCCCTCCCGGGCTTTTAAGCCCTCCTCTTATACCCCCTAAATTGACTTTTTGGAAAAAATTTCTTTTTCCCTTCCCCATGGAGATAAGGAAAAAAACAAGAATTTATTTAAAAAATAGAAAAAAAAAACCCCAAGGGGGGTTTTTTTATATACTTTAATAGGGCCTTTGAAACGTACATTATGTGTAGTTTTCCCCTAGTGTAATTTAGAAGTAGCAAAAACATTTTCTAAAATCTTGCAGGGCCCAAATAACAAAAAAAAAAGAAAAACCAGCAATCCTCCCCTCGGGTTTTTCCTTTTTCACACTTTCATTTTGGGCAGGAAGGTAGTACCCCCCGGGGCAGAAATTTCCTTTCTACTACCACCAACTCCCTAGGCCAAATTTTTTTTTTTTTTTTGGTTTAACACACCAAGGCGGGGTTGCCCAAAAAAAGAAAAAAAAAAATTTTTCATCTTTCAACATTTTTCCCACCATTATTCTACATAATTCCCAATAATCATAATGATTGCTGATTTTTATGAATGAAAAAAAGTTGGATGCCCTTTGGGGCCCAAAAGCGAAAAAAAACTAAAGGGGGGAAAGGAGATTTTTTAAAGGGGGGGGAAAAAAAAAATGGGATTAAATCTGGAGAAACCCGAGAGGGGTTAGAGCAAAGGAAGGGGTAGCAGTAATGTTTTAAAAGATCAAATTATGGAAGGAGAAAAGAGGGAAAATGAAAGTGGGAAATTTAAGAATTATGTGGATTTAAAATAAAGGGTTTGGGTGCGAGAATGGGTTTTTAATAAGCGTGTATTCACCTGGAGAAGAGGGGGGAAAGCAGAGGGGAGAGAGAGAATTTTTGGGGATGTTAAGTGAATGTATAGGAGCCTTTGAACCAAGGGGAGAGTAAAATTTTGGGAGGGGACCTGAAAAGCTAAAGTAGGAGAAACTTTTTTTGAGAGGGTGGGGGTAGGTAATTTTGGGGTCCAGGTGTAAAAGTAATTGGGGGCCCTTTGATTGAACTTTTGTATAGAAAGGGGGTTTTGTTTTTAGGTAATACTTTTTTTAAAAAAAAGAGATAAAAAAGAAACACATATGATGGGAAGGGGGAAATGAAAGTAGTTTGTTTTGGTTTTGTAAATTTGGGAGATAAAAGAACCCGTTTGGGAGACTTAGGGTTAAAAATTTTTTAGAGGGGGAAAAGATATATCAATCACTTTTTAGTTGTAGCACACTGAGAGTAAAAAGGGAGATGGGATACAAGAGAATAGAAGCATCAGGGAAGAGAGAGGTAAAGGTTTTAAAAACAAAAAGGGGAGGCAGTTGGGGTAAGATATAAACAGCTTTTTGGGAGGATAGATGGGCAAAATTTAAAACCCATAGGCAATGGGGTTGAAGAGGTATGGGGTATTTTTAAAAAAAATTTTGTGTTAGATTTTTTCAGAAGAATTTGGGGTTACAGGAAAGGGGGGTGCAGGGGGGAAAAGAGGAGCGTTTGGGGTGGAATGATGATGTAAAAGAGTAGAAAAGGGAAAAAAAGTTAGAAATTTTAAAAAGTTTTTTACAAAGAGAATTGATGAAAGGGGGGGGAAGAGTAAAATTGGAAAGAAAAAGAGAGGGGTTTTAAGAGGTGGTGAAGCAATGAAAAAAGAGAGCAAATAAGAGGGGTGAGATTTTATCAACAAATTTTTTTTTAAAAAATAAGAAAAATTTTGGATTTGAATTAACAAGTTAAGAAAGCCAAGAGAACAAAGGGTTTTTGGGTCATTAAAAATGGGAAAGGGGAGAGTTTTTAAAATGGAGTTAAAGGGGTTTTGGGGAAAGATGGAGGGAATATTTTAAAGGAATTGTTTAAATTTTTGATAAAGATAGGGAAGCTGGGGATTTCGGGGTATGGGGCAAGGGGGGAATAACATTTTGTGGGAGTGGGGAAGACCCCCATTTTGGGGAGTTGGGGGAATTTTCGGGGGAGGCAGTAGGTAAAATAAAAGGGGGGTAAGGCACCGGGTTTTATGGAAAAAAATAAAAATTTTAAAAAAAGGCAGGTGGGATATATTTTTTTGGAGGGGGGTTGGTGCAATTATTTAATAAATGAAAGGGGAAAGGGAAAGGGTACCCCTGGGGATTGGCAGAGAGCTTTCTAGCTTCCTTTGTTTTTAAAGGAAAAGGGGGAAAAAAGGGAAGTGAAAAAATTTATAGGGGGATAAGTCGTTGATGAACCTGGTAAAGTTGTTATGGTAAGTTATAATTGAAAAAATTTTAAGATTAAGACGGAAATGGGAATAGCGGGTTTGAACAAGGAGGTTTTTAAAAAGGTAGGGGGTTGTGGACCAGGTTTTTTAACTTTAAAACCCCTATAAGTGAACAGTATTTAGATAAGGTTTAAAGAGGTCTTTGTGGTTTTTTATGGATTTGGGAAAAGGGCTATACAGGGGGGATGGGGGGGCAATTTTGGCAGATGTTGCAATGTATGGTGTAGGGGGTAGTTACTGAAAGCAGGAAGAGTTTTTTTTCGAGGATATTTAGGGTCAAGTTAAGTATGTAGGAAAGAGGGAAATTTTTTCCCAGTAAAAGTAGGCCTTAGACAAGGATGGTGATGGGCACCGTGGGTTTTTTAATATATTTATAGATGGGGTTTTTTTAAAAGAAGTAAAAAGCGAGGGTCGGGAAGAGCTGGAGTTTTAAAAAATAAAGAAAACACAAACCCAAAAATGGGGTTGTCCAGCTGCCTTTTCTGATGACACTGTCCTTTGGGGGATTCTGAAAAGAAGTTTCAGAAAATTGGGGGATAAAATTTTGGGAGGGGGTGCAAAAAAAGAAAATTTAAAGGGGAATACAGGAAAAAAGTAAGGTTATGAAGGGTAACAAAAAGTTAGGTGATGAAAATTGGGAAAATCAGATTGGGGGAGAGATATGGAGGGGGTGAACGTATTCAATATTTGGGAGTTTCGTTAGCGGAAAGGTCAAAGAAAAAATTTAGGGGAATCCCTAGAATTGATTGGGGGGGAAAAAAAATTTTGGGGGTGCACCTTAGGGGGTCCCGTGGAGACAAAGAAATTTGTCCTTTGGGGGCAAAGATGGGGAAAGTATGAGAGTATAGTTTTTTCCCAAAGCTCTTAATGGGTGTGAACGTGGGGGGATGGGAAAGTTGCAGCAAAGGGGAAGGCGGGGGCAGTGGGGAAGTCCCTTCTGAGGGGAATGTGTGGTGTGAATATAAAAGCAAGAATTCGTAGTTTGGAATTAGGAGGAGGTGCCCGGGGTTACCAAAACTGTTTTCCAGAGGGGTGAGGGAAGGGGTTTTTTGAGGTGGGTTTGGACATGTAGAGGAAAAGGAGCGAAACAGAAAGACTTTCCCAAAAGGGGTTTTTCAGTCTGGGAGTGGGGAAAGGGAAGGGGGGGGTTTGGGGTTCCCGGCCCCAAGGGAAAGGGTTTGGGGGGAGGGGTTAAAAGGGGGGGTTTTTTGTGCGAGGGGGGTTGGACTTCCGCAGGCATGCGTGAGCGGTTTTATAGGAAATTTAATTTGGGGACAAAAAGGTTTTTTTTTTACTTTACGTGCTGTTTGGGGTGTGAGCAAAGTAACATTTATGAAGGGGAAAAAAATTTAGGGAAACCGGAAGGGCCCGGAAATTGGGGTCCTGGGGATTGGGGAAATACAGTGCCTGCACTCTGAAGGAGGGGTGGTTTAAAGTTGCAGTTTAAAAACTGTAGGGTAAAGCACCCTTCTGGGAAACAGTGAAAAAGGAGGAATGGTGGTGGGAAATTTTTCTTTTTTTGGGGCCCCCCTGGGCCTTTTTGGGAATCGGGGCCAGTTGATAAAAAATAAAAAAATCACTGGGCTTTGCAGAAAGGGCCCCAGATTTCGACAGTTTAGATGCACTCCAAACAGCCAAACCCCCCTCCTTTAAAAACCCCTTACTTTTTGCAACCCCCAATCCGAGGTGTCCTCCTGGTTGAAAAAAAAAAAAAAAAATTTAAA